GCCACTCCCTCCAGGCTTTACATCTCCAGCCGTTGGCTCTGATGTGGGAGGTAAAGTTTCCCCACTTTGTCTGTCTGTTTTAACTGGAGACAGGAGAGGAAGGAAGTCTGGGATAAACAGGTTCTCCAGGAGTCTGCCGGGCCCAGCTGTGAGGAGGGAGGGGGGTTTGGCGGATACCTGTGGTTGCTTTCCAGGTATTTCTGGTGGGAGAACATTTAGTTGCCGTGGCAACAAGGTAAACTCCCAGATGGCAAATATTCGGTAGCATTTGCTTTCACTGTTGAGAACAAAGAGGATGGAGAGGGGAGTGATTGCTGAAGGGTTTGACTGGGGAGATTTGTTTACGTTGTACTGGTGGGGTTCCTGACAGTAGTCCACTATTCACATCTCAAAATAAACAAACTGGCCTGTCTGAATTACAGTGGCAGAGGCCATGACTGCTTCTGCCTGGGTTGTTAACCGCCGAAATGAGTCCTTAGCATGGTTCACAGAATTTATCATAGCGCAGTCAGAATCGGGAAAGCCAGGCTAAAATATATGTCGTTGTAATCCTTACAAGTCAGGGAACCTCGGGAAGTTCACTTGAAGATCACACTTGTACACAAAAACGAGCTTTGTAGCGTCAAAGTTGACTCATTTCCATTTTTCGGCGAGGTTTCCGCCATTGGATTTCCGTCAAAATACGCACCCTATGGGGGTTTCGCGGTATCTGGTTGCATCTGTTTCCGGGTCACGTCCAGCGACGTCATTACCCGGCGAAGGGCCGCTGCCAAGCCAGGGGCAGTGTACTGCGCAATACTCACCCTTTCGGGAAGGAATGCTCAAGAATTATATATATGGCTCTTTTGCTTCAACTGAACGAGCCACTGACATGTATGCACATGTGTAAAAACGAGTACGCTAGCAATCATTCGATAGCCGATACATTTTGCCTGTATCGTTGCAAACACGTCGACGACAACACGACTTTCACCTGAATCACATTCGCGGCGCCCCGAAAATTACCTAATTTTTACCAAAATTGTTGTTAGACAGAATGAAGACAGTCCGACTTTAAAAATCTCAATCGTTGCAAAATCGTCTCCCGTGTGTATAATTGCAATCATACAGGTAAAAGTCAGGCTTCTTCGGAGTGCATAGAAGTGTATAAATATTGTCGCCCAGCCCATATAGGCTGATAGGACACCATGCATGAGTACGTGGGATACAGAAATCACATGATTTAAACATAAGTATAAAATAATCATCAACTAGAAAGGTGACCTTTGCAAAGCCGTTACGGTTTCACAACTTCTTCCAAAAAATCCTTCACCCTTTGGCGAGTACTCTTTCTCGCAAAGGCGATTAAGGTCTGCCCTCCGCGTGTATCATATAAATGATACACGCAAAAGTCGGGTCGTCTTCGAAGTACCTTATGTATCATTTCAATGATACGTGTAACTACCTAGGTTTTCCAAAGTCGGACTGACTTCCAATATAGTAACCCCACTATCATATCTACGCATGTGTGAGACGGGTACACTGTACCAGCAATCATTTAAATAGCTAATAGAGGAGTTACCAATTGGCTCTTAAAAAGCCGCGCCAATAAGGTTTCGCAACTTCTTCCCAAAAATCCAATTGGCGAGTACTAGTATATTAGGGTCTGCCCTCCGTGTCTATCATATAAACGATACACGCAAAAGTCGGGTCGTCCTCGGAGTGCTTTTTGTATCATTTCAATGATACGTGTAACTACCTAGGTTTTCCAAAGTCGGACTGACTTCTTTTTTATCGTCTCACACATGCGTAGATATGATAGTGGGGTTACTATATTGGAAGTCAGTCCGACTTTGGAAAACCTGGGTAGTTACACGTATCATTGAAATGATCATAAGGTACTTCGAAGACGACCCGACTTTTGCGTGTATCATTTATATGATATACACGGAGGGCAGACCATAATCGCCTTTGCGAGAAAGAGTACTCGACCAAAGGGTGAAGGGTATTTTTACTCTCACACATGCGTAGATATGATAGTGGGGTTACTATATTGGAAGTCAGTCCGACTTTGGAAAACCTAGGTAGTTACACGTATCATTGAAATGATATATAAGGTACTTCGAAGACGACCCGACTTTTGCGTGTATCATTTATATGATAGACACAGAGGGCAGACCATAATCGCCTTTGCGAGAAAGAGTACTCGCCAAAGGTGAAGGGATTTTTTGATCGTCTCACACATGCGTAGATATGATAGTGGGGTTACTATATTGGAAGTCAGTCCGACTTCCGGGAAAACCCAGGTAGTTACACGTATCATTGAAATGATACATAAGGTACTTCGAAGACGACCCGACTTTTGCGTGTATCATTTATATGATAGACACGGAGGGCAGACCCTAATATTCTCGCCAAAGCGTAATTGGATTTTTGGGAAGCTGGTACAGTGTACCCGTCTCGCACATGCGTAGATATGATAGTGGGGTTACTATATTGGAAGTCAGTCCGACTTTGGAAAACCTAGGTAGTTACACGTATCATTGAAATGATACATAAAGCACTCCGAGGACGACCCGACGTTTACGTGTATCATTTATATGATAGACACGGAGGGCAGACCCTAATATTCTCGCCAAAGCGTAATTGGATTTTTGGGAAGAAGTTGCGAAACCTTATTGGCGCGGCTTTTTAAGAGCCGAGTGGTAACTCTTCTATTAGCTATTTAAATGATTACTGGTACAGTGTACCCGTCTCACACATGCG